GCTCTATCAATGCCCCACAAATCCTGCTATCCCAGCCATGGGCTTCCCCACACCCACACACAGTGCCCAGCCCATGCCCCAGCACAGGGTAGGAGCTGAATACATTTGATAGATGCTAATTCAAGTCAGCTAGGAGGGGGAATCACTCACCCCACAGAGGGAAACTGAGGCACAAAGGGGCTAAGATTTGCCCACTATGGCATTGGGTCAATGTCTGTGGTGGGAAGAATCATAGAAGATCAGGGTTGGAAGAGACCTCAGGAGGTCATCTAGTCCAACCCCCTGCTCAAAGCCGGACCAATCTCCAGACAGATTTTTGCCCCAGATCCCTAAGTGGCCCCCTCAAGGATTGAGCTCACAACCCTGTGTTTAGCAGGCCAATGCTCAAACCACTGAGCTATCCCTCCCCCTCTCTAAGCCACTAGACTAGACTAGACTCTCCCCCCCGCCCCCGATTCTCCTCTCTCAGCCGGGGCTAGAACCCAGGAATCCTGGCTCCCAGGAGCGGCGCCAAGGTTTTTGGTGACCTAGGCGGGGGGCCCTCCGCGCTCCCGTCTTCGGGGCACTTCGGCGGCAGGTCCCAGAGCGAGTGAAGGACCCGCCGCAGAATTGCTGACGAAGACCTGGAGCGCGGAAGGACCCCCCGCTGCCGAATTGCCGCCGATGGCGGCAAAATGCCGCCCCCCCAAAGCCTGGCGCCCTAAGCAACCGCCTAGGTTGCCTAAATGGAAGCGCCGGCCCTGCTGGCTCCCAACCCCCACCAGCTCCCCCGGCTTTCCTGTGCAGTACCCACATGGCAGGAATGCCATGAGCTGCCTCCAGAGCGGGCACAGGGGGGCAAAGTGCGGGGACAGCACAGTACTCGGTCATTGAACTCCGGGTGCCCTAGCCTCCCAGCTGGGTCTGCGGGGCGGGGGGGGAGGGGGGAGGGCCCTGAATGGCGGCACTCCAGGCTCAGGGCTGGGCACCTCCCCTCTGCATGGGGGCGGAGAGAACGAGGCCGGGAAGCCGCACAACCACGTCCTGTGCTCAGAGCAGCCAGCACAGCGTGCCCCCAGCGTGACCAAGAGACAGGGGGAGTCACGGGACCCCAAAGTACTGGGGGAACTGAGGCATGAGACAGGAGGGTTCTGACCCAGGTCACACAGAACTGAAAGGACAGAACCCAGGAGTCCTGACCGCCCCCCCCGACTCTAACCACTAGAGCCCACTCCCCTCAATGTGTCGTCCACCCTCAAGACACCTAACTGGCTGCCATGTCCTGTTGCCAGGGAGGTGCTGGGGCTCAGAGAGCAGAGCCCAAGGAGTGGGTGAGCTCCTCCCACACGATCTGCCCCAGCTCTGCCCTGGAGGGGCCCCTCTGGGGGGGGGGGGGAGGGGGAGCCGCCCCCCATGAACCAGCCCAGTCACTGTTAACATGGGACCCACTGAGCTCAGAGCAAAGTCATGGGCCCAGCCAGGAGCCGGATCAGATCCGGCACCCCCTAGAAGGGAAAGGCCCCGTGCCCCACCCCCGAGCCCGCCAGGCCCCGCCCTGGCCTGTTCTCCTTGGGGGGGGTGGCTCTGTGTGGGGCAGGCGGGTCCCGGGGCCCCACATTGTTGCCAGGTTTTATCATCGGCTCCCAGAATTTCCTGTGGAGGCAGAACAAAGGCTGGGCCGGAGCCTCCCCTCCCCCCACCCCAGCCTGGCTTTCAATGGAGCCTTGTGCGGCCGCCAGCGCTGGACAATGGGCCTCTGTGCGCGGCTGGGCCGGGGGAGCCCCACGGGGCCGGGGTCAGCGGAAACCAGCCTGTGCCCGGGATGGGGACAGGACAGCAGCCATGAGCGCCAGGATTCCCCACTGCCCCCCAGCCCAGCCCCCCTGCAGGGCCCCTGTCCCCTTCCCCCCCAGCCCAGACTCCTGCAGGGCCCCTGCCCCCTTCCACCCCAGCCCAGCCCCCCTGCAGGGCCCTTGCCCCCAGCCCAGCCCCCCCTGCAGGGCGGCTGCCCCCTT